CTATCTAATACTAATCCTTGTAACTATTATTACATTAAATCCTCTCTTTTTATCCTTTTAACTTCAAAGGCTAATTCCATGACTACCTGGTTTTTATAAAGGTAGAGCTCTTTTCATTTCCCTTTCCTTCCTTATTATCATCATGCTTTGCTATACTAAATCTTCAACTCAGTATCATTATTAATTTAGTCATAACATTGGTTTTCTAGGTCATAAAATGCTATCTTTTTGTTTTTTTTGTCACTACACTAGTTACTATTACTTTGTTTCCTTGGCCTCTAGTCATTGTGCTACTTGTTTAGAGCATAATATTGTTTGCAATTTAGTGGTTTTTGACCATGACTAGGAATGCCTCTGGTCTGAGCATGCTAAACTTGAATCTCAACTAGAAGAGACTAATATACAAACATTACTCCTTGCTAAGTACCTTGCTACTTTTGTTACTCAAAAAACCTGTCTTTACAAGCAGCTCAGTCATCTTTCTTGCTACAAGAAGAAACTGTATGATTATGAACTTTCTTCAATCAAAGAATTAGAGCATCTTGAATAAGTTACTCCTTCTTTCCTTGACAACTTTTTTGTTAATTTAACTTCTCTCAATTGGTTTGCTCTTGGTCCTTCAAGCTTGGTACCTCTGGGTACTATCAATGAAATTTAGTGATCTTTTCAAGGCAATTTAAATTAGTTTGTAGTTTTTATAAATTTGATTCCTTCCTGTAGTCAAGCCATTTGATATAGTATTTCCATTGCTAACCTTTTTTACATCTAGAATTTTTTTAATGTTATATTTTTCATCCTCAGATAAAATGTTTAGTTCTTTTATAACTAGTATATTCTCTAGTACTGGTTCCAATAATGAGATGTAGAATGTTAGATATATTCTTGTTTTTTTAGGTAATCATAATCAATACATTACTTCATTAACTTGTTTTTCAATTTCAAAAGATCTTGCTTTGATGTGATCTAACTTTTTGTTTAGTCTCCTGGATTTTAAGTTTTTGTAAAGTAGATAAACTTTATCCTTCTTCTTAAAAATTAGTCTATTCAATCTTCTTTAATTGGTATATTCTTACATTTTCTGGTTTTTGAACTTAATTTCCTGTCATAATGACTCATGAAATTCTTTAATTCCTTGACTGTATTGTAATCCTTGCAGTAACATACCATTACTTTTGATTTCCATTCTTTAAACTACTGGATTATATCTATAGTTTGCCTGAAATGGTAATATTTTAATAGTATCTTGTTTTACACTATTATATATATACTGTACAGCTAGTAACAATGGTACCCAATTGTCTTGTTCATAGCTAATGTAGTATTATAGATACTATTCAATAATCTAATTAATTTGTTTGGTTTATCTATCTGTTTATAGATAAGCTGTTGTTAATATTTTGTGCTTTACTCCCAAGCTTGCTATCATTGTTTTCCAAAACTTCAATGTAAATAGCTTATCTCTGTTAGTAATAAATTTCTTTGATAACTAATGGTTTACTATTATTGTTCATAATACCAAGTATATTATTTGTTCTACTATAGCTTCTTTCATTATTGGGATGAAATATATGTATTTCATAAATCATTCTACAATTACAAGTAATGTGTTGTACTTTTGTCTTGTAAGTAGGTTTGTTGATTCCAGTAGATCTATTATGAAGTATATCATGACTAATTCCTATGGTCAATGTAGTACTTCTAGATTCTTTAAATTTCTATATGGTTTATATTTGCTTTTCTTGTCTTGGTTGCAAACATAGTATTTTTTAATTACTTCTTTAACTATCTTCTATACACCTAGTATATAATAGTTTGATATAATTTTTGTAACTGTTTTTGCAATTCCTGGATATTTACTTGTTAGTTCTTTATATATATCTTTAATCAATTCTTTTTATAGTTTTTGTAGTACATAAATTTATTCTTCATAGTATAAGAGTCTATCCTTAAGTAGTTCTCTTGCTTTATGTTTTGTAGCCTTGTTATCTTGAGTTGCTTTTCATATTTTTTGTTTTCAAGTATTATGACTTTTAATTTATAATGCTACAATTATCTTTGCTCTATATACTAGAGTTTTATTACTGTTAAATTTAAGTATCATGTCTTGCATTGACTTCATACTTTTCTTGTACTTTTCTTGTCAACTGAATGTATCTGCAACTCCATTTTCATTTCTATTCTTGTAGTATATTTAGAAATTGTACTGAGCTAATATTTCTGCCCATCATACTTGTCTTTTGTTTAACTTTTTTGTTGTTATAAACATTATAAGATTCTTATAATCTAAGTATATTATGGTTGTACCTTTTGCTCTAAGCAAGTAGGTTTGTTAATACTCTATTACTAATACTACTCTAAGTAGTTCCTTGTTATAGATATTATAGTTTAATTCTAGTACCAATAGTTTTTACAAGTAAAAGGCTACTGAGTATTTTTTGTCATTTTCTCCTATCTGCATCATTTGTACTCTAACTTCTTTCTCTAGTTTATATATCTTTAGTACTAGTTCTTCCAAGAACTTCCTTTTTAGTTCTTTAAATGCTTTCTAAGCCTCTTTAATTTAACTAAAAAATATACTGTCCTTTGTTAATTCCATGAGTGGTGTTGCAATTTCAAAATATCTTTATATAACTTTTTGATAAAAATTAGTAAAGTCTAGGAATTTCTTGATTTTTTTTTTGCTTTTTGATACTTTTTAATTTTATATATCTTGAACTTTTTTTAGATTCATCTTAATTCTTTTGCCAGATATAATAAATCTCAAGAATTCTACTTTTTTTTAATAAAACTTGTACTTTTTAGACTAAACATAGAGATTATATTTCCTGAGTTTAGTTAAAATTTTTTTAACTTATTTTCTATATTCTTTCAATATTTTGTTTATATAAACTATAATGTTGTCTAAGTATGCTATAATAAAAATATCTAGATACTAGTAAAGTATATTGTTAATTATGCTTTAGAATGTAGCTGGTACATTTATAAGTTTAAATGGCATTACTAGGTATTTATATAGGCCATAATGAGTTCTAAAAGCTATTTTCCATTCTTTTCCTTCTTTTATATAGATTTAATAATATTTCTCTTAAATATTAAATATTGTTATCTATTTAGCTCTTGACAATCAGTCTTGAAGTTTCTGGATAAGTAGTAACAAGTATGCATTCTTAACTGTCTTGTTGTTTAACTATTAATAGTCTATACATAGTTGTAGCTTGCTATTTTTCTTAGATACCTATAGTATTAGAGATCTCATTGAATTTTTACTAGGTCTAATATCTTTTTTCTTAATATTTTTTGTAAGATATTCTTTTAATGCTTAGCTTGCTATTATGTTTTGAAATATATTAGTTCTGGTTTCAATATTGCTTCTTTTTTAAGAGGTATCTTATAATCCTATGGCTTATACTTTAATAAAGTTATTTCCTTTGAATCTTTGAAAAGTTCCCTAAACTCTTTATATTCTAGTAGTATCTTAGTTATTAGTGTCTCTTTAACCTTTTAAATCTATATTACATAAGCTCTATACTAAGTGTTTAATATTTTATGCTACATGTATCTAAAATTTATCACCTTGATATTTAAGTTTTTTATTAATTTCTTCTAATTAATCTTTGTTTGCTATTTATTTTATCAAAGTTTTTGGCATCTTATCTTTTTGAATAACTTAAAACTTTCTAATCTAGGTCTTCTAGTTTATTAACTACCTATAACACTACTGTCTACTAGTATGTTAACATGTTTTTCTTGGATTTAAACCTGTATATATATTACATTCTCTGGATTTGTATTTATAAAGTATATAACTAGGTCATTTTGTTGCTCTGGATTCAGGTAGCTTTCTAGTTTTTTGACTATAGTTCTTTCTTAGAACTCATTGTTATACCATGTACTAAACAACTATTTGCTATACAATCCTGCTTCAGTACTTGATAATGTCTAAAATACCTTGGATTATTCTTTGCTATCTGTTATTCTAGAGTATGTAAATAGCATTTGTTCTTCAAACAATTATACTATTTGGTTTGATACAGGTATTTGTTTTGTTACTGTATCTAATTCAGACATCTAATCTTTTGACATTTATACCATAAATAATAATATTTTGTTATTTTTGCCTTGATAGCTTGATTTCTCTTGTAGTTATATTTTTTTTGTACTTCTTAAAGTTTATAAAATAGATATTCTTTGTAATAAATTTTAGCATTAGTAACTTTAGTTTCTAAGTCATTAAATTCTTCATCTTCTAAAATAAATGTTTTTCTTGTTCCTTGTTTGTATTATTGTGGTTTTTTTTATTATCTCCTTAGCTACTATTCTAGGTCTTAATGTTTTTGTTAATGTTCTAGAGTCTATTTTTTAATAGCATTTTTCTAGATATTTTGTTTAATAACTTTAGCTACATTGTCTAGAAGATCAAAAAAATAATCATCTTCATTGAAACAATTATTAACTAGAGTAGCTCTATCTCTAGTACTATTACTGTAATGGAGATGACGTGGAACGACTGTGAGATCAAAGTGTATGGTAAAAAAGACTTGATTCTCTAAGATGTAGGATCTGCAGTAGCTATATAAGTGACCCTGAGACCATGTGACAACTGTGGTAGAGGCACAACAATTGCCAGCTGATGAAAAGGCCATTGCCCTGATGGCACATAATTAGAATAAGGAAAATAGCTGAGAATAAAGAGAATAGCATGATAAAAGGAATAATGATGGTTGAAGTCATTGCCAAAACATTAGATGGTTGAAGCCATTGCTAAAATGTTAAATAAGTAAGCAAACCATAGTAATTTAGCAAGATGTATTTATAACAATCATAAAAGGAAATATTGTTTGCAATCATCATGAAAACAAAAAGGTCAGCCAAACAATCATAAAAGGAAATATTGTTTGCAACTGTCATGAAAATGAAAGAGTCAGCCAGGGCCTAGTAACTAAACTTGTCATGAAGCTTGTGTAGCTCTTCTAGTAATATGTTTTCATGCAAGGTGTGTTTCATGAAGAAGACAACATCCTACTCCCAAGTAATCCTTGCTTGTTCCTATTTGTGATAGTCATTGTTGTACTTTTCTAATGCTTGTGCTTACCATAGTTTGTAAGCCTCCATAGCTCTTTCTATCAATTTGAGGTGTACTTCCCTGGTAGTAGTGTTGGAGAAGAAGGTAACTTCTTCCTCCTTAGTGATTTTTCCCCCAGTGTCCATGGTGGTATATGTGTAACTACTGGAGACTATTTTGGCTCTCAAGAAGGCAATGTTCTTGTTTCCTGGTTGGCTAATGAATATACTGTAAGGCACTTTTATGATGCTAGAGTTTGTCTTAGGCTGTACAGAAGGTACAATGGCCACTGGAGGTAGAGTGGGCAGGACAGATTTAGTTGTGAGAGCAAAGTAGAAGTATGATGGAAGCATTGACAAATGTCTGTATTCCTTGGCTTTGACAGTGTCATTAGTTTTGATACTGTCATCTTTGTGTTTACTTTTAGTTCTGTACAACTATCAGGATCTTGCAATGTATGCTGCCTTGGTCTTGTGGTAGGTTTTGGTCTTGCCAAATACCTACCCAGGTTTCTTATCAGGGTTTTTTTGCCAAGCATTGTAGATTTCTTTCTCTAGCTTGTCATTATCAGTTGCAGAGACAACCATGGTAGGAGTGGTAGGAGGTTCATCAGCCATGGAGAGTGAAAGTGTAATAGGAGGTTTATCTACTATGGAGAGTGTGGTAGAAGGTTTATTCACTGTAGAGAGTGGAGGTTTTTCTACTGTAGAGAGTGGTTTGTCTGCTGCTTTCTGTGGTTTGACTGTTTGTAGATCTTCAACTGCCTTTACTTCCTCAATGTAAATCTGGAATGTCTCTTCAAAGGGTTTGACAACCATGGAAGACTCCTTGGTTTTGGCTAGTTTGTTAACAGCTGTATTCTTGTCTGTCTCCATCTTGTTTTTCATGAATTTGTTAAAGAGACCAAGGAGGTAGCTTTCTGACTGCATGAAGAATTGCTTGAAAGCATCTGCCATAGCTTTCTCAGCTATGGTGAAGGTGTAAGGAATAAGCTTTGATAGAAATTTGTGATTTGGGAAGTGCAGCTGGTAGGCTTATTTAGTTGCAGAAGCCTGTAGGTGTTTAAATAGTAAAGGTTTTTGTAAGTGAGGTAAGTGAGTGATGTAAGTGAGCTTCAAGTAAGGTGTAGTAGTGAGCAGGTTAGTGAAGTGTATGTAGTGAGACTGAGTAAGAAAGAGGTGAAACTTGAGGATGTAAGATATTTGATGAAAGTGGTGAAATTTAGCATTTGAGTGAGCAAAGTAAAATAAGGTTAGTCTTACTTGGTGAGAGAGGTGAGCCAAGTGAGAGAAGCAAGGTAAGTGAGATAGAATGTAAGTAGTAGGGGGGAGAGGAATAGGGAAGGTGTAAAATAGTTGCTAGCTGTTTCATGAAATAGCCTTGTTGTAATCCTCAATAAGTTTTTTGGCATTTTCAAGGTTCTTTTCAGAGTACCACTAGTCAAATTCTGGTCTGTAACCTCTCCATCTTACTAAATATTAGACTACCTTTCTACATCCTTAGCATGTAGTCTGTCTATCTAGTAGTTGCTTGATCTTTCATTCCTCTTGCCCCTCTACTAGAATCCTGGCTGTGAATTTGCCAGTTAGATGGAATGTCTAACTGGTATGCCAGCCAACCAATGTGTTCTACTATCTTGAAGGGTCCTACAAACTGTTGTAACAGCTTCTTGTTCATGATACCTGAGAGATTATAGCCTCAATGCAGTCTAAGATTGACATAGTCTCCTTCTTTAAAGTATCAAGTGGTATGGCAACAATCATAATGGTGTTTGGTTTGTATTGTTATAAAGTCTATTACATCTCCAGCAGATATTCTTGCCATCTTCCTAGTGTTGATCCTATTGTCATCTAATGCAAAGCTAGGGTGATTGCCAAGGTCTAACCTATACCTGATCTTAAACCCAAGTAGGATTTCATTTGAGGCTATTCCAGCCACCAACATAGAGTTGTTTAGATTGATTTGTATCCAAGGCAATGCCTGTGGCCAGTTCTTAGGATCATCCATCACAGTGATGTAATAACACATTGTTATTTTGGTAGTCTAATTAGTATGTTCTGACTGTCTGTCTGTTTGGGGGTGATACACCATTGCATACAACAAACTTACCTTTGCTGCTTGAAAAATCTGTCTCCATATAGTACTAAGAAATTTGGGATCACAGTCAGAGATAATCTCCTTTGGAAAACTTCAACCAGTTATGAGTAGTTAGTAGATCAGTTGTTTGGCCCATTCCTATGCTAACCAGGTGGATTTCCCAGGGATGAGATTTACAAACTTAAAGAACTTGTCTGTAGCACTCATGATTGAGTCAAAGCCTTCCTCTGAGACTAGCAAGGTAAGGATAAAATCAATGGAGATTGTATGAAATAGCCAACTTGCTTGTATGAATTGCAGTGATCTGTACAGTTGGTGCCAGGAGGTATTCATGGTCTGGCATTGGAAGCAATGCTAAATGTAGCTCATTAATTTTTTAGATAGACTATGTATATACCATGATTGAGTGACATGCTCATATGTGTAGTAGAACCCAGAGTGACCTGCCTTGTCATGTGCTATTTGCATGATCTCTTTTGCCAGTAGATTGAGAATGCAAAGCTGTTTGGTGTCTCCTTTGTTACTTATGTAGATTATGAGATTGCTATACATTTTGAAGGAGAGTTTCTTTGCCTCATTGGGTTGTTTGACATTGTGGGCTAGGATTTTTTTTACCTGTTACCAAGGCTCCTCTACCTTATAGCCATCAGTGATCTGTTTCTTAAAGTCATCTAATACTTTGACTAAAGTTATGTTATAAACATAGCCCAGAAAGGTGTCTAGAGTCCCCTTGTTGGCCTCTGATGTAGTATCTCTGCTTGCCAGTTGTGACAAGGCATTTGGTACTCTATTGGAGGCTCTACTGCAATGGTGGATGTTGAGTCTAAAGTGTTGGAGATATTCTAAGGCCTGTATCAACTGTAAATTTATTCTCTCAGTTGATGTTATAGTTGTCAAATTGGTTTGTTTAACTATGTCTGCTGTTGTAAAGTAGTTAGTGTAGACAATGGTAGGATTATTCATGGATTTAATCATATGACATGTGCACTTTACAGTCCAAACCATGGTGGCTACTTTGAGTTCTGTTGGCCAATATTGTGTTTCTGGTAGGGAAAGTATCTTGCTAAAAAACATGATTGGTTCTACAGACAACTATAGTGGCAGGTTTTGCTGATTTAAATAGTCCTTGATGTGGTAAATCATTGCTTCAAAGCCCTACTGTTTGGAGGCATTTATATCAATGTAAAGGTGTCTTTTTAGATTGAAGTGTGTCAAGACCAAGGAACAACTAAATAGCTTTTGAAGTTGATGGAAGAATTCAAGCTCTTGTAGCATGGGCATGGTAATGCTAGTCTTGACAGCATCTCTTTTCCATTGGGTCCCTTTTGAGGTAATTTTTTTAGCTAGCAGTATCTTTCTTTCCTGCAATGGTTTGAATATCTGAGCATAATAAAGAATGTAATGATGGAGGTATCTAGTCATGCCAAGGTATGTCTCAAGCTGTTTAAACATCCTGGGAAATTCAAGATTTGTAATTGCCTTCAACTTGTCTTCTGCTGTTGCCATGCCTAGCATGTTGACCTTTTGTTCCAGTAGCTGTACCAATGGATAGCCTATGAATGATTTAGATAGCTTGAGAGATATATTCAAATCTGACAGCATGGCAAATACCATGGACAAGTGTTGAATATGCTCCCCTAGGGTATTGGAATAGATGACTATATCATCCATGTATGCCTGCACATAAGCATGGTGTGGCTGAAGGACTGCATCAATCTGCCATTGCATGTAGGCAGGCAAGTTGTAGTAACTCATAATTGAAACATGGAACATTTCTTGTTCTCTATGTAATATCACCATCAATTGATATCTGTGAGGCCCATGAATGAGCCATTGATAAAAAAATGAGGCTGTGTTGATGGTAGTAATGTATTTTGCTCTAGACACTAAGTTTATCACATCTGCCTGTAAGGACATGGGATAGTGGTCTGGGATGGAAATCTTATTCAACCCTTGTATATTAACAACTGGGTAGCCTTTTTGGATACTGTCTTGGAGAGTTTTCCAGACCATGAATACAGGGAAGGTAAATGGTGTAGGTTCTTTACACCAAACTAGTCATCCTTGGTTATGGAGTTTATCAAACTCCTTGTCAACCACCTTCTTGTCCTGGGGTCCCAGGGGGTAGACCTTGGATGATGGCTTGTATATTTTTTGTCAATCATCTATGATTGGGATTTTCATCCAGAGGTCCTCTGGTATGTTCACAGTCTTGCTGTTGTCTGTCCAGAGGGTTGGAAACTGGTTGATGACTTTAGCCAACTAGATTTGGCTCTTGTGGTCTCCATAAACCATGATCCCATTGGGGAGTACCTGTTTACTGATGGACTCTCCATGGGGCAAGAGCATGGAGACCTTGCATTCTAACATATATGTGTCAATGCAGGATGTCAAGGCAAGGCCTTTCAGAAGGATAGACTTTGCCTATCCTAGATGCTTGTAGCAATGTCAGGCTGGAGTTGCTACCAAGGGTTCTAATGATGGGTCAACCATGAAGCAGCCATCTACATTGTATTTGGTAATCTTGCCCACATAGGTGTTTTTTTCAATTGCAATTGGCTAATTTGTACCATTAGAGACTTGGACATGAGTCATGTTGCAATTGATGACATGGACATACATGCTGATCCCTGGTTTGCTAACTAGTTTTGGTTCAAATAAGAAGTCTTGATCAATTGATAATGATCCTTTATGGCATATTGGCAGCATCATGGTGGAATGTGGTCCCACCAGGGTGCTCTTGAAGGCCATAACTGACCTAGTTACCCTTGTGTTTGTCTTGGGAGTTATATTGATTGGAATTTCCAGAGATTCACAGCTAAGTATAGTTGCTGTTTTTGTGAAAAGGTTTATCATGAACCCTTTGGGGCCCATGATATCCATGCCAATTAGCATATTGGCTTGTAGATTTAATACAATGTGAACCTTGTACATTATCCTAGCTATGCCTCATGGGCCCAGGAAGTAGATGTCCAAGACCACATAGGTATTGACATCATGTTTGGTGGTACCAATTCCTCAAACTGTAAGGGACATAGCCATGGAAATGCATTTCATGTCTGGTAGATATCTAGACAAGAATTTGTCATTGATAAGACTCATGCTGCATCCAGAGTCCAGGCAAACTAAATTGTTAGTCCTGTCAGGATTGAGGCAGGCCTTGGCAATTGTGTAATGCCAACCTCTGAAACCATAGCCATCACTGGTTGTTGGTGAGGCCTTGGATGCAATGATTGTGGATAGGGCATTTCTGTCTGATTTAGGTGGGTCTGAAGCTGCTTTGCAGTTAGGTTGTTGCCTGCTGCACATGGAGAGATGCTTGTGCAATTTATTATTAGAGGAGAAGGTCCCCTTGCACTATTTACAGTGATGTGTTTGTTCAATGACCTGTTCTGTGAAATTGATGGTGACTTCCTCTTTGTCAGCATCTTGGGTGTCTGTATCATTGGTGGTTTCATCTAGTGATTCTTCATTGTCATCAGTCTGCTCTTTATAGGTCTGGCCTTGCCAATAGGTGTAATTCTCATCATAGTATTAATTGATGTAATCTGCTGTGTTACCATCAGGTTCCCTGTAGTAGGCTTGGGGGTGGTACTGGGATTGGTTTGAAAATGAACAGTTTCTAGGTTGTCAACTGGGCTGATTTGGCTGTGACTAATTTTGTGGTTGTGACCTTGGGGTTTGCCCAATGGATGTTCTTTTGTTGGCATGCTTGTTGGTATGAGGTGGACTGGTGATTTGGTGCTATCCATGGATAGGAGGTAAAGCTTGATGATTGAGATAATAGGGTGGTGGAGTTGGATTCTGCTGGTTCCCATAATTGTTAATATAATCATACTGTTGTTAGTAAGAGTAGTTAGGGGTGTTAAATTGTTGCCCATATTGATATGCTAGATACCTATATTGTGGCACAGATGGCTAGGTTAAAGGAAATTGATTAAAAGTACCTCTCTGGTCATGCTTGTTACTCTTGCCTTCTTGAGTCTGGGTTTGACCTTGATATTTGTAGATGTTAAACCAAACATGACTCTTTTTGTAAAAGATTTGAATGAAATCTGCCATGGTGGTATTTTTGGTGGGGATAGGAAAGTCTTGGTATAGGCTTCCATCAATATGCTCATATACCAAGAGCACTTGAGTATAATTGGAGATAGTAGTGCTAGAGTTCTTGTCATTCAATATGATTGATTGTATATACTCTAAGACATCTTGGTTTTGTTGAGTGTCCTGAATGATATAATAGCATGTTTTTAACACAACTAGGGATTTCTCTGGCAGGTCCCTAAAATGTTGTTCCAATGCCTTGTACCATTTTTTAACACCATTGGTGTTCATTTGAATTCCAACATGTTGTATGTAGGATAACTCTTCTGTATACCACTTATCTGCCTTTCCCAGGAGGCAGGTATCAAGATTCTGATAGATCAAGGCTGGATCCATGGTAGTAGCCTTAACCCTGAGATAGTTGGTGAAGCTAAATATGTTCTGATAGACTTGGTCTTTATCACAGACCTCAACATTCTGGCCCTCACCAGGGTTGAAATAGTCAATGTCCTTGGAGCAAAACTGCATGCAGCCCATGCCACTGCCACTGTCCAGACCAGGCAGCCCCATGGGTCTAGCAGGTCCTTGAGGGCTAGGTGGTCCAGGGTTAGCCTAAACATTCTAAACAGCTGCCATGACTGCTGCAGTGATCATGGCCTGAAGTTGCTCCATGGATAGAGCACTATTTGTTAATTGTGCCATCCAAAATAACAGGGCCAGGGTTACTCTTTAGATATCTTTGGGGTTGATATTGTTAGTATGGTTTAAATCTGATGCAGATCTAGGTCTGGCTCCAGAAACAGGAGAGTCAGACCCTGGCAATATAGAATGTTTCAGGTTTGAATTCTAGTGCTGTTGCTACACTAATTCTTGTTGAGTGAAATGGATTGTGGCAGCTTAAGCAGCCAAGCTGTTAGCTGTCCAGGTGGGAGGATAACAAAAACCTTCTTGAGGAGGGTTTTGCTCCTCAAGCCTGTCAAGCAGGATATCTACTTTGGGGGATAGCTCAATCTCAAGGTGTTTGTATCTGTAGGCTAGGAGCTGTTGTCCCAAGTGTATGTAATTGGAGTTTTCACATGGTGTAGGCATGTTTTAGTACTGATCCATGACTAGGCAGACCATGGAGGTAAATGAGGTAAGGAAGTTAGACAATGATGACATATGAGCAGTCTCAAGAAGGAAGGAACGTGGGTGACACATGGTGACATGAGATGGAAGGAGTAATGGTAGATAAGCCAAGAAACAAGGAAATCTCACAGGTAGTAGAGAATCTGGCAATGAGTTCTAGAATAGGTACTGAGATAATGTAGGTAGCTAGATTGTGATGGGTTCTCATGATGCTATAGTTGGTGACTGGCAGAGCCATGGTGGGGCACCAGGTTTGATAGAAGATGTGGTAAGCTAGAGCTCTAGTAAAGCATTTAAAGACACTTCTGGTGATTCTTCTATTTTGATAACATGATTGAAATAGATGAATCTGGTGAACAAAGTGTCACTACCACTTGTAATGGAGGCAACATGAAACAACCATGAGGTCAAAAGTGTATGGTAAAAAAGGCTTGATTCTCTAAGATGTAGAATCTGCAGTAGCTATATAAGCAACCCCAAGACCATGTAACAACCATGGTGGAGGCACAACAATTACTTAAATTATTACTTTTTATATTACTTTCAATATGATTGTTACTACTACTACCTCTATAAAAGATAGTTTCATTGACTATTATATTATGGTAGACAAGATGACTCTGTATAGTCAGTCTTTCTAGAGCTTACTAGTTAGTTTTTATCATAACTTTAACTATCTAGTAGATAATTTTTAATTTATTAAAGCTATATGGGCCCATTTTTCTAGAATGTTAATGGAGTAAAATTAAAAAGATAGATGTAAAAAGATTAAGAAATAAAAATAAAGACTGAAGGATGGAACAAGAAGGATGGTATAGAGAAATCCAGGTATAGAAACATTATATAATACTAGAGTTACACTAAATTTATAAATAAACAAGAATTTCTACAATTTAATTTAGTTTATTTCTATTAAGTTTTCCAAGTTAAGATAAAGACTACAAATGCTTTACCATGTCAACTTTAAATTTCAACTAGATAATAATAAGATGCCTAAATGTAAATTCCTTTATTATGCAAGTATTTCCTCTACTAAACTCCTGCTACTATACAAGTATTCTTCTACCAAACTCCTACTACTATGCAAGTATTTTTCCACCAAACTCCTTAATACAGGTTGTTTACAATACTAAATTCTCCTAAACTAATCAACTTACTTTTTCTAAAACTTGATAAAGATTGCTAAAACTAGTTTATCTAGACTTAAAACCTACAAGTTTAGTACTCTAAGCAACCAGAGATCATCTACTAGAATAAACTTCTTCTAGTACTCTATGTACTACTTTATTTTAATTTGTCAAAATATTTCTATTAAATTAACTTCTACATTTGGCCTTGGCAAAAACTAAATATCTATATTTCTATTTTTATTAGAGTTAGAATCTAAAGAAAAAGACTCCTCCTTGTTCTTCTCTTTATTTTCCTTAGCTAATGCCTTAGCCAATACCTTGGTCATTGCCTCTTTTCAAGCAGACTTGACTTTTTTGATAAACTTAGTCAAGCCAAGCTTTCATTTTTTAATTTCTTTAGAGTAAAAGTTCTCTGCAGCCTCTATATTATCTTTTATAGTACTAAATATATTCTTATTAAGTAAGGCAAGAATGCTAGATACAGTCTTGTTTAGATTGTTAAGCACTTAACAATTATTGAAGATATTTTAAACAAAAAATTTATAGACCTTCATGATATTTAACTAGTTAACCTAACAATATTACTCAACTACCTGTATCTCCATTAGCTAGCTTATTAAAAGGTTAAAGAGATAGACATTGTAGTATAGCTTATATATGTTGACTCTACATAAAGAGATACTATAAGTAGTAATTAAAATTTTCATAGATTTCTACTTTGTATTAAACTCTTGCATGAGTTTGTTTCTTTCAAGTATAGAGAGCTTTACTTTATACATCTATACATTAATGTTTAAAGCCTGGAAGATTTTTAACAAGAAGATCTACTTAGTAGAAAACATATAGAAAATAACTATCTTGTTATTGTTTCAAAAAACTTGTTTTGCAATGACCTTGAAGAGTATTCTAACCTTGGGAAAATAATAGTAAATCTTTAAGACAAGAAGAACTAGATTGTTATTTAGTATAAAACAGTAGATATTAGATACTTTAGCATTACACTTCTATAATTATTTGTACAATGTATTATTGTATAGTATTTAATTCAAAATCTTCTTGGATTTTACATCATTCAAGATATACTTAAATCTAAGCCAAGTAGCCATTAGTATAAACTAGAGAATAAACTTGATATTCTATACAAGATGACTGTTTAGCAGCTTAAAGATTATTTTCTTTAATAGTAAATTAACAAGTTCTATATAGTTCCTCTCATCTTTAGAATTAAATTTTAGATTAAAGTAATAGTAAGCAACTATTAACATCTTTTGTCTAATGAAGTATCTATCCTCAAAGGAGATTTTCAATGCATATATTTGATAAAAGAGACACTATCATTAAATTTTAACTACCTAGATACCTTTTAAAACTAGTACTATAGCATCATTCAAAATAAAACAATTAAATACTATACAAGTTGATTACAGCTTTTATACTAGATTGCTACTAGTTACAAGATAGAAGTTGACATTAGTCTTAACATCAAGCTCTATAAATTTGTTCTTCATCTATATATTTTTGAGTTTAATAAACTATATAAAGCCCTTGAAATTAGTGATAGAGTTGGAAAAAAGAGTAGCACTTAGCATGATATAAAAGAAACTATCAAGCTATAGAACTATAGTAGCTGACTGTATTTCCTTATACTTGATTTAGTAGGCTTTATTCATTATAACCTTGTTAAACCTCTCAGCCAGATTAAACTTCTAGTCTCAATTGAAAATATCTTGTACTTGATTTACTTCTTGTTTAATGAAATTTTTATGTTCTATCTAAAAGTACCTGAGCTCTGCAGGTCTATAGTATTAAGTTAATATTTAGTAACTTGTAATTATAATGCATTGCTCATGGCCTTTTTTCCTGTTAAATAACTTAAAATCTCAAGTAAACTTTTTAATAATTACTATAATATTAATACTATACCTATATAACTTGTAGATATTATTGTAATAAACATAAATCTAGATTTCTAGGGTAATTTTTTTAATTTTTTCTATCTACTAAGTAATAAAATTTGGTAGTAGAATCAGTAGCATGGGCTTGTATAAATACTTTAATAGTTTGTTTACCTTATTAAAAGTTAATGAAATGCTTTATAAAAGGCTATTCTAGAGGTTTTTAGACATGCTAGTCAAAAAATAAACTATTATAACCTATGTTTTGCCAAGACTAACATTGTCTACAATAACACAATTATACAGTTTAGATTACTTGAAATCAAAAATTATCTTGACTACTACTAGCTACTAAAATTATATAATGTATTTAATGTATATATAGATATTTAGGATCTTTAATTCCAAGCAGCTTATAAGTAGCATTGTAATCCTTTTACTAATAGGCTATATTGTTTAGCTAACTCTTTATTTAATTAAACTTGTTGATTATTTCTTTAAAAAAAACTTTAAAGTAGACTATGGACTGTTCTAGATTAATATTTTTTAGTTTCTAGTTTCAAAAAATAATAACAATGATGTTCATACTATTATACTAGTAGCTTCTACTTAGAACTTAATTTTTATCAATGTTTTTATCTACAATATAGTAAATTACTTTCTACTACCAGTATGTATTTTTTAAATTAGATGTATTGCTCAATTAAAATAATTTTAATGTCTTGAATAGATTAAGAAGTCTAATATGATTTTTTTTTAAATATTTTTACTATAGGCTCTTGCTCTAGCTTGGCAGCTTCATCTCTATACTTTTACTTAAGAGTAAAGTAATGTATAACAATAATAATATTAAGAAAGATGATGGTACTTAACAGGGTCTTGGCAATGCTAGAAACTAGATTATTAACTTAAGATTTAAGTATTATATTAATGTTACTAGGTTTAGTAGAGGTAGCAGAGATAGTAATAGTAGCATTAATAGTGTTAATAAGGTTAATTATGCTATTTAATTATAAATTACTCAAAAACAAATCTAAGTCTTTAAAAATAAAATTATAATTTACTTCTTGATTTACTTTTATTATATCTATAGGCATCTACTAATAAATATCTTTTAATACTTAAGTACCTTTTTATAAAAATAAAAAACTAAATTTAACTAAATATAATACTAGAATAATAAAATAAAACTTAAAATTTAAAATCTTTTAAATACTAAAATTAATAATTTATAACTATTTAAAATAGTTATATTAAGTTAAATTTAGCTTAAAAAGTTTTATAGCAGAGATTTAAAAATTATTTTAATTTAGTTTTAAGTTAAAAATAATTAATAATAGTTATAAATTATTTAATATTTATATATATTTTAAAACTATTACTAAACTTTCTATATTAAATTAAATTTTTAAATATT